TAAAAATGTAATAATATTAAGATGAGAAGAGTTCACGAGGGAGTAAAATAGCTTCACTATCAAGAAAGTAACGTAGTGGCACAAAGTCCGTGTATCAAGTTGTTGGGCAAGAAAAGGGTGACAGAGCTTTCTATGACATTAATGTTAAAGTTATATGTGATAATTATGTCACTGGAATTAATTAGATGCATGATAGAAAAATGTCACCAATGTTGAGCCCGAAGAGAGATGTATCGATCATAAGTACATATGATATATTAAGCACTAATTTAAGGCCACAAATGCCTCTATGAGATATGCATATGTATGTCAAATGATTTATGTCGTTGATGCTTGAGCATTTGTCCATGAAGATATTCACAAGGAAATGACATTGGAACAAAACATTGCTAGCATTTAATTTTTGAAATGATCACCATAATTTGATAATTACAATTGGACAAAATTTATCATGATTGTTAATTATGAGTTATTGGTGAAAATATTTATCAACTAACCAATCACTATAAATATCAAAGAAGGCATTAATATTATACTAAATCCAAATAATTCATTGCACTTTACAAGATTTTAAGCAGAGGTAAGAGCAACTGCATTTTATGTTTCATTGCACGTAAGAGCATCATATTTCTCTTAGCACCTCCCAAAACTAATTACGTTCTTTGATTGAATAGATAATGGTTGTGGGCTCAATATTAAGTGATTGGTTTAGTTTAGTTGTGAGTGAGTTCTTAGATTAGTTTGTGAATGCTATTTTTTTAGCTCATATGATCATTTGGTGAGTTTCATTGATGTGTTGAGAGGCTTGGTTTGGCATTGTAATTGTAAAACAACGTCTTAGCTTTGCCATAGAAAATCGTGGGGGGTTTAAATGTGTAGGATTTGGACGATGACATGATAAAAATGGGGTGTGACAATGTCAAGATATAACGAGATGATAACACAAGATTATTTCCTTGAGGAATTCATCGGACAAGGAAAGCTTGAGATATGATTGATGAAACTAATTTTGGATGTGGTAGTGTTTATATAAAGAAAAGGATCAGAGGAGTAGGAACAAAAGACATAATTTTGGAGTGAGATTCTATAGAACACGTGTGCCCATGATATATATATATACATACATACATACATACATGCATGTATATATATATATATATATATATATATATTGCACATATGTATGCATGTATGTATGCATGTATATATATATATATAAGAGTAAGCTCTCATATCAATGTATTTATTTAATTTTCTGCACAAGTTTTTCATTTGCATTTAAAAATATTAAACTACTTTTTTGCGACCTTATACTTTTTTTTATATTCAAAATGAATTAATGAATTGCACATGTGATTATTCAAATAGTTTGCATGGTAACATAGTAGTGATCTAAAAGAGGGGATTTGAACCCTTCAAACTCCGCTCAAGCAAACTATCCCTCACCAACCAAGCTGACAATGCGTTAAGCATGTGAAACTAAAAGTTTAGCTATTAAATATGTAAATAAATAAAAATTTATTTCGATCTTAATTCGAGTCAATGATGGATCGTAATTGAATTGAAATAAATTTGATCCTTTAATATTATAACTCGTACTTAGAGCACTCCACTTGCATGACATCCTCATATGTTAGCGACAACTAGGTTGTGGAGTTGCTTGCGGGCCACCGAACGAGATTTAACAATATATTTTGCATGATATAAGCGGTATTCACCGATTCGTTGAAGGAACTACACAGAATTCATAGGCTTTATGACTTCTCTAAAACGTCTTCACGAGAGATGTTAGCAATAACCCTGTACATTTTATCGCAGAATAAATCATTGCAAAGAGCAATGAAGCATTTCAACACTCTTCTGAAATGATTTGCAAATACTTCTCAATATGGTTGAATACACATGTCACTTTTTTCACAAGTCATAATGCCAGCAGATTCTACATTCGAATGGACCCCTATAGAGATTTCGCATGATGCACGGTATATGTCATATTTTAAGATAATTTCTTTTATTTTTTACATTCAATTTTTCATATAAATATCATAATTACGTAACCCTTTGTTATCTTTCTAAAACTACATTTGAGTAATTGATGGAATATACATTTATGTGTCTGTTCTAAATAAAGAGAATATTGCATTTATCAGTCGTTGTGGGTCCTCGATGCAGAATGTCATGACAATATGCGAGTTCAACATGTGCTTCACTTTTATCATGCCCGGTTGAGAAAATAATACACATGACAATTGAATTTTTAAATCTACAACTCATAATAACAAACAAAACTTCTCACATTCACCCACAAATTCGCTTGAAACTAAGCTACTCTCTTAGCTTTTTTCCTTCAACACTAATCATTCAATTCACATCAGATAAATATTATTTGTTTGATTCAGGGTATCCTTTGCAATGAGGGTATCTTAAGCCCTATTCTGAGATGAGATATAATATACCTGAGTTTGAGCGAACCAACAATGTAGTGTGAGGCGGGAAATAAATATTCAACAACAAAAGACAATCCTCTTTACGCGTTGTCATTGAGAGGACATTTGGTGTTTGTAAGAAGATATGAGTTGAACTTCACAATATGTCATCTTACTTGTTTTTCAAGTAGGTGCAGATTGTGATTTTCACAATGACTTTTCATAATTATATTCGACGACATCTTTCCCACAATGACATCGACTTTCATAGGACTGATGAGGATCTTGCACATATCCCTACTAAGACTTATACGTACCAGCTTGGACAATCTTTGTCATAGGCCGAATATGATGCTCCGGAGAGCTGCACTAAAAATGAGGAAGGCACAAGCTAGATGACAGAATTGAAAGAACGAATTACGAATGCGATAGTTTGAGGATGATTGAAGAGAATGTTGGTTTTTATTTTTTTAAATTGTAATGATTATTGAAGATATTTACTGTTTACTGTATCAATATTTTATACATTTTATGTTTATTTCTGTTCCTTCTACTTTCATAATTTCTTATTTTAGTTTTTTATGCAATTTACATGTTTTTTTTTTTCCTTTTGCATTTCTTATTTTTTTTCTTTTTGTAGATTTTTGAGATATATGATGAGTCGTTTGACCTTATGAGTTCTTTTGATGACCTATATGTCATTATTGATTGGTGTCATGTGTGAAATCCTAAAGAAAACACCCAAGTTCCTTTCATTTTTTCGGTGCTAAGGTTTTTTAGGTTCTTTTGGATAACCTTTTTTGTGATATGTAAATGACAATATACGAGCTTAATATTATGTGGGTTAAAGAAAAACAAAGATCATTTTTTATCAGGTATGTCGTCTTCTTTTAGTGACAAATTCATTTGTTTATAATTCTTAGTTCTTGAAGACCTCACAACTAAATAAATTTTAATGAATTATTTATGTTATTAATTTTTTAAGTCTTCTTGTAGGGACATATTCATTTGTTTATATTTCTTAGTTTTTTAAGACCTCACAACTAAATAAATTTTAATGAATTACTTATGTTATTAATTTTTTAAGTTTTCGGGAAAGATAAGCTCAAGGATTTCCGGTATCTCCAGAGGATTGCACTGTTAATGCGGACATTACAGTTCTCAGCTAACTTCACCTTAACCACATAGTTGCGAGAGACTATTTTACAGGTGTCCACAAAGACTCACAGAAAACTATGACTATTTTCGGTGGATAGATGAGGTGGATAAAGGAACAAGAAGATTTCACCGCTGATAGTGATCGACCATAGAGAGTATTCCTGGAGGACGGTTTAGCTCGCGACATACGCCGTTTACATTTTAAAAATAATATTATCATATTATTAATTGTTGTTTTAATATTCATTTTCTTAAATTTGACAGTCATGTTACTCGTTGTTAAGTGAGTTGTCTATCTTTATTTATAATATTCTATATTGGATATTTGTTTTTAAAGTATATAATGCACTTGTATGAACAATTATATTGCAAATAATATCGCTATACATGAGCAAATTTGTCATTTGTTCAGAAACAACTACAATCAGTTGTTTTCAAATTACAAAAAACAAACATACAATTAAGTTATCTACAACAGCTTCTTATTAAGTTGCAGTTGCCCCAAATAGACCCTTGATGAGAGAAAAACTTATAATTGTTGTTGTTATTGTATAAATTTTTATTAATTTTATTAAATCATAATTATACTAATTAAACATCTCATTTAAACATTAATTAATAATTTAATAAGCCAATGAAACAGAAATTCCAATTCAGAGAAAACATTAAAAAAAATTTATATTTATTTTTAATTAATTTTTATGTATTTAATTTGATTGACTGATCATCAAAATTATTTAATAAATTTTTTTATCAATTATAATCATGCTAAGGATCATAATTAATATAAATTAATATTTTAAATAAAATTTATTAAGAGTTCATTAAAATAATTAAAAATGATAAATTCCATTTAATCAATCCTAAGTCTTTATTAATATTAACTTTTTAAGCAAATATAATTTTAAAAATACTCTCCTTCTACCCTAAACGCCCCATCCACCCCATTTTTACGGAAACCGGAAACCTCGACGACAGGGGACATCGCGACGGTTGCTCGTGGCGGAACCACCAGTCTCCAAAGACGAAGAGAGGTTCGTAAGACTGGCGATTTTAGGTCAAAGCTGTGGAGAAATGATTGGTATGCTCACCACCATGGAAGAGGGCAGAAAAGCTGCGAGTCGCCTGTGCTCAATCTGCAGTCAGAGGAGACCCGTCCTCAGAAGGCCTAAAACCCTAGAACAGGTGTGTTTGTATAAACTATATGGAAATAATGAAGCTTGTTAACACTATGATGAAACCCCAGTCGTAGAAATGCAAGAAATGTTGAAAATATGCGTTTATTTAAACAGGTTATGCTTTAGGTTTGAATTTTAGTAGTATTGTATTTGTTGAAGTAAGCAAGGAACGAAAGTGTTATACGGAAACGTAGTTAGCTTCAAATTTTGAGTGGCTGGGTAGGAGTAATTCAGAGGCTGCAACAAGCTCTGAGACTTCAGTTTGGACCTTGTAAATTCAGTTTTGATTCTGAAGAAACGAGCATGATGTCACACAGGAGAAAATCAATTCGCAAGAGAAATTCAGGGGAACAAACTCATGAAACAATCTCTACTTTTATGACATGTAGATTTGATCAGGAATCCACAAATGTGAACAACTTACCACGTGGATCAAACGAATATGCTAAGAAGACTTTTTTCCAAAGGAAGTGGTAAAAATTTTTAATGATTCAATTATTTTCTTATGTTAGACACTTATTTCACGAATCATTATGTGAGGCAATTATTCACGGAGCATCAATTTCTTGGCTGTTATTGTTTCCAAGATAACTAATCCTCGATATCTGGTCTCTTCTTTTTTGTGTCCTTTACGGTGTGCATCGACAAACTAAATGGCAGATATGAAGAAATTATGGAAAGGGTAGTCTGTATGTCGTGTTGGTTCCAGTTCACAATTTATTGCTAAGGAAGATTTGCCTATCCATGTAGGCGGATTAAGTAGCTCTAACAGGACAACTAAGTGGCCCGAGGAACATAATGTTATATTTGGGAATTACTTATGGAACAATTTCTCCACGGGAACATGTTAAATTGTGTACTTAAGAGGGATATGCGGTGTGAGGTTGTTTGTACGCATAACCAAAGATTAGGCATAACATGTACAGAAGCAGTTACTACTATGAGATTCGATAACATGAAGACTGACTTTCGGATGTTGTACCAGTTATCTAACAAAAGTGGTTGGAGTTGAGATGAACAATTGCACATTCTGGTCACAGCTGATGAAATATGGGATGAAGTAATAAAGGTATGAATGTATTCAGGCCTGCTATCTTATAATTATTACTTGACATAAGGTAGATATGAAAGCTCTCACATGGCTAACTATTTTCTATAGGAGAACCCCCCCAATATAGCTCGCTTTCGGAGGAGCCTGTTTCACCAATACGACCTATTTGAAAAAAATTGCATTGACGACATGTTCGCCAGTACATGAAGTCATTCAAAAAGTCAGCTTTTGCTCATAAACAAGATAAAAAATGACACATTGGATGTCGAAGAGGTTGAGTCTACAGGAGATGACTTCATGTCAGCCCATGGTGTCTGTTTCATTGATTCATTTGATGGTGCTGTATCCTTTGCCTATGCTGGTGATGATGGTTACCAATCAACTCAACTTACATCAACTTATAGAAGTGGGTCCAAACGGTCTAATGGAGATATGAGGAAGGGTTCACGGCATATAAAGAAACAAGCTGCAATGGATGCTTTGCATAAACCTCTGAAAAAACAGAATGAGAATTTGGCAAGATTAAATCTGTCACTGGAACAACTTGATCCCCCGCCAATGAACGAGTGCTTGAAAAAGCTAGGCGGCGTAAAAAGTATTTCAATTAAAGCCATTATTGAAGTTTTTGATGCAATAAAAGACTGCAATGACAAGAAAGTTGCATTAATGACATTGAATGGAAAACAACTTCTTCGTGCTTGGATTGAACACATTGTTGTCAATCATCTTCATTTTCACTCTTTTCTGGCCTGGCGTTAGGATTTAGGGTTCTAGGAACTATTTTGTGGCAATCTGGTAGTTATTTTATTTCTTTAAAATGTGGATTTACTTTGTCCGTGCATTGTAATCATAGTGACGGTAATGTTTTTTGTAACATTTTTGAAGGGTTCTTTGCTCCCTGGGGAACTTGATGTAGAACATAGTCATCTAACATGTTATCACTTGTGTAATTTGGATCTGCCATTTTTGGACATGTCAGCCCTTGACATAGTAGGATAATTCATGCTATAAAGTTATAACCAAATGCTGCTTTATGTGGATGTTTATTGCATAAAAGAATTGCCTTTTATGTCTGATCATTGATTTACTTATGTTAATTGCACTTAGATTATTTCTTTTCTTATTTAATATCATATAAAATTCATTTCAAAATAGAGGATGCTTTTAAGAGAATTTAAATGAATTACTGATCAATATAATTATTTTTCAAGGAAGAAATTCTCTCCAAAGCATGCTCAAGACATTCAATTCCTCTCTTGTCTCTCTCTCTCTCTCTCACACACACTCTGGCTCACTTTGCCTCTCTCACTTTCCCGATTTCTGCTTCTTCTTCTTTCTATTTCTAAAAGTGCTAATTTAAGCGTTCGTTCTCTTGTATGAATCATTCCGTCTAAGTTTTAGCATCATCCTCATAAAGTTAGGTGCTTAGTTTGCCTTTTAAATGTGCAGGATTAGTTTCTGTGATAAATGTTGTTGGATCTTTTTCTCTCTCTGTATGTTTGCATTAATCAACTTGTCATGCAAGGTGTTACTTCCAATGTTTGCAAGATTTTCATTTTTGTTTTGTGGATTTCACGCCACCTTTTGAAGGATAGATTTACTCATAGTATGATACGGAAAAGGCACAATTCAAGAAGATTTCCTGACAATATTATGTAGTTCTATTTTTTCCTCATAAAGTTAGTTAGTGTATATGATATCCCAATAGACAATTTTAATGAACTTGTAATCTGTAAAGGTGCAAGATATTGTTTTTCGATCAAAACAGTTTATGCTGAAATTGTCGCTGTTATGATTGTACTGATCATCATTATGGTTTTAGAATTCTACCCAACTTCCTATAAATATTTACCTGCTAAGCATTGAGTTTGCTTCATATGAAAACTTAATTTGTTTGCTTAGAAGCATTCCTGATATGAGATTCTGGTGTTAAGGTTGTGCTTATTGTTTGTTTTGCAGCCTGTTCTATACATTTGTAAGTTTCAGAACTTTATGCATACTCCTGCAAACAGGTTTTAAGTTCTGCAAATTTTTATTCTTAGATTTGTAGAGAGTGCTTTTATGCTGCATTCGAGGAGGAGATTCATCGAGTTATCATGGAAAATCATTTGTTCAAGGCTGGTGAGCGGATTGCAGTTGCTGCTTCTGGCGGTAAAGGTGAGATCCTGATGATAGAATGCAGATGAAAATATCGTTTATATTTCCCTTTTTATTTTTATAATCAGTTACCGCATTTGTAATGCAGTAGTGGAATCAAAGTTCATAAAGTTGATGTATTTTCAAATTTATTTGGTTATGACTTTTTTTCGTCTAAATATAT